TGTTCAAGGCATATTCACTCCTTCAGTGCGTCCCTTCAATATCTAACCCTCAACTCGATTCAATATCAACACCAAATAACACATCGTCAACTCCTTCAAATAAATATCGAATTCTACTGCACTAACAATAACAAACCTCCTTCACTCCTCAGAAACTCCATAAATCTATCGTCTGAATATTCAATACCTCCGCACCCCCTCAAACTCACTCATCCCTCTTCCACGCCCCCTCCCTTGATATGTTCTCCTCACACGCCCTGTCTTGTTCATTCACTGATCAGTCTTTTGACGTCTTTTTGAGAGGACAACTTACGTCAAACGCCTAATTACAAATACTCAAGTATCAAAACATTTATCATCTTCACTAAATACATCATGATTACATTGTCAAACTCGCAAATTCCACATTTCAACAACTCACGTGCCTGTGAATGTCACTATTTCGTTCCACATCCATTCCTCGATGGCTTCTCTCAATGTCTCACTTCCCCATCCTTTCTCACCCTCCATGTTTCTCTCTCTTACTCCTTTCAGCTTGTCCAAGTTTAGCTTCCGCAATTATTGCTTTTTCGACGTAGATGGCGTGCCCCGACTATTTGGGTCCCTTTTTACTCCTTCAGATTACCTATAGGCTATAGTCCACCTACGTAAAGGGAACGAAAAAACGTTGTTTCACACCCTCGGAAGCTTTTATTCAATAACCCAATCTCGAGTGGATCGAGATGAAGAAACGCTAAATTCCATCTTCGCCCGTCTAACTAAACCTTCACAGCGCAGATCCTCCTGGTGCCTGCATGCGCTGTGAATGTCGTCACTGTCCCTTACCTTAGTCTCTGTTGGTGATGCAGTGATCGACCAACGAACCTGTCACTCTAAACTCTCTTTTAGCCTTGGATGAGCTGCGATCTGAGACGTCATGAGCAATTTCACTGACACTGATAATCCTTTCCACACGGGGACATTGAATAGCCACATCCATTAAAAAAGGCATCATAGGTAGTGAAGGCGAAGGTGACGAGTTGAATGAACTAACTTGGTAATTTAATTCTGTAATCTTCCGTGAACTACCAAACGATATGCTTGACGTATCTATAACTAACCAGGTATTACTGTACTCTCATAACCCAACAACTCCGACTCCAAAAAGTCATCCTGAACGCCACCCAAATTACCATACCGTACCAACCCAATCTCGTAACATTACATGACTGTTGTGACATTAAACGCGTAAATGCATCATCCATCTCATCTCATCTCATCAGTGATCTCGTTCACCATCCTCCTGCTGCTGCGATTGTGACTGGCACATGGCTATCGAGAGCATCTCCTCGTCTTCGCTTCATTGGTCTGGGGCTGCCACCACGATCAGCTCCAGCCATGGCCCATTGTGATTGTGTCCATAGTGCTGTCTGGTCACTGCTGGCCTCGGGCTTGTGGTGTGATCCCCATTCTGGTCCACCAGTGCCAGAAGACCACCCGTCCAACGCCGGCATATCCCAGCCTTGTAGGCTATCTTGGTTACCGTAACCAAGTGAATTAGACAGATCCAATCCTGATGTGGTTGTTGGGCTCTGGAAAGGGTTCACAGTAGAGATGACAGGCTTGAGGTCTGCGAGGGTTGTTTGCGCATCGTAGTATCCCGCCGCCTGGCTGTGTCCATGTCCGTGTCCGTGTCCGTGTCCAGCAACCGGATGGCTATCATTTGCTGTGCTGCATGTTGAGGACATGAAACCAACGCCTGTGCTTGGAGGCATACCATGGTCAAAGCTGGTCGGGTACGACGGCTGTAAGCCTGCTGTTGGTGGAGGTGTAGCGAGACCTCCAGAAAAGGACTCGAACAGTGTAAGTCCACCATTGTTTGTCGCGGGAACAGTCGGTACCTGAGCCAGGCTCACATTAGGATCCCATGCAGAGCTAAAAGTCTCGTTCATCGCTGCTGTCATGTGCTGGTTGATTGAAGGTGTGGGCGACATGATAGCATCTCGCGACATGGAGGTAGAAGGATAAACGAGGGCCTTTTGTTGGTGGTAGCGGGACATGGGATCGTTGACTGTCAACCAGCGCCACGAAGTACCAGCCGGCTTGAATACCGGGTTGTACTTGTACCATTGGTTGGTTGTGTTGAATCGCCAAAAGACGATGCCCTGGCGAACCCATCGGTTGGAGTCGGGAGCACACGACCAAAGTTCTTGGTACATGGCAACCTTGCAGATGAGGTCGCTTCCAGTCAGGTCACGGCGAGCCCAGGAAGCGGCATCGCCGTCGTCCTCAGATCGCTTGCGCTTGCTGCTAGAGCGGTCGAGATCGTGCTTCTTGCGGTCATCTCCCTTGCTGCGCTTGTCCTTCTTGCGCTGATGCTCAACATCAGGATACTGAACAGCCATGCTGAGAATGCTAGCCCACTCCACGGCAGGGAAGGGAACATGAATATCCTGACGAGGGCGCGAGTGACAATCGCAGTCGGCCTTGGAGTCGCTGCAGCCCCGGCGGTGAATGCCCGTCTCATTGGTGTAAACACCCTGCTTCTTGTCATCACCGTGAAGCTCAGATGGGCGAGTGAGACGTGTAACACACTTCCATCGGTGGTTCTGGAGGTTGGGGTTTGTGATGGCAACCTCGACAAAACCAGTGAGCTCAGAACCGGAAGGGAAGCGAGCATGCTCATGCAAATCAAGAGTAGCGCACATCTCAAGAAGTAAGCACTCCTCATCTCGAGTAGGGAGATCCAGAGTCTCATAGATCTCGGGCGCATCCTTCTGCCATCGGCGAGTTACCGTCTTGACACAGGCAGAAGTGGTTCGATCCAAAGAGCGGGTGTACTCATGAAGTAGCACATCCTTTCCAAGTACACTGGGACTGTCATCACAGTTGTTGTACTTGTTCAGATGGGGGAAGGACTCTGTGTCCAGAGCGTTGTCCTGAGCGTCATACGCGATCTCATCCTTGAACTTGACCTCAGAAGAGGAGACATAAATCTCTGCTGTCTTAGGGCGGACTGAGATAAGAGACTGGAGAGCAAGAAGTTGTGAGAAGTACTCGTAGTTGGGCTTCACATCAGGCACTCGGCCTTCAGCGAGAGCAGTCAGGACAGGATTAGACTTGAAGGATTCTTGCTCCTCTTCGTCATAGTAGTCCTCAGAGTTGGTGGAGCCAGGCTCCTTCTTCTCCTCAGCAGGGAAGAGGAAGTGGACTAGTGAAGTTAGTAAGAAATTTATTCGAGGCACAAGGCAAGTGACTTACAGCATCGCAAGTCCTCGAAGAACTTCTTGACCACCTGCATATGACTTGAGACCTGCTTACGTCCCATTTGCTCAATGCTATCGTTGCTGTTGTCGATTCGGAAAATCTCTTTGCTGCCAAGAATAGCAACGCAGATTGTGAAGATGTACTCGCTGATAAGCATGTTTCGACCATGGAGCTTGCCACCCATAGAGAACTTGCGGCGGCCCATATGAGGCATGAGAAGAACAGCTGAGTTCCATTAGTATAGGTCAAGTCAAGAGCAACGGGAGGGTATTCTTACAGTCAACAAAGGCATCCTCAAGCTCTGGTCTTCTCCAAACACCACCCTTGTCCTTCTGGGTGTCTTTGTGTGCTTGTCGGTTGCGGTACTGGCGGAAGGCAGGCCAGAAGTATAGAGGGTTGACACCATTTCTGGGTCTTCTTTGGTATCGAGGTTGGTTTCTGGGTGTAGGTACGCGGTACAGACACTCGAATGATTGTGAGGGGATCATGGGAGCTGGGAGGCTGACTGGGACCGAAGGCGAGATGCCTACTGTGTTGGGATAGCATGATACCATGCTGTTGAAGTTGTGTGACTGCGCATTGCCGGCCTGTTCACGTAGAGGTAGACGGCTGCTGTTGTGATATGTTCGTCGAGCATCTTGAAGATAGTCTGGTGAAGGTGTATAGCGTTGTGAGGACAGCACCGGCCTCGGGTGATAGAGTGATGAAGACATGGCAACAAGCAAGTGTTTGGCAAAGGAATGCCGACTGGAGAGCTTAATAAGATAGAAAGACTTGAACCAGCTGAAACGAAATGCCTTTGAGGACTCTACGAATGCAGACAATGAGTAGACAAGAGATGATGAGAATGTTGAGAGGAATTCAAGACGTGGAATGGTGGGATAGATGTATGCATCTGAAGAAAGGAGTGTCCAGGCACTGGAACGAAGGTTCACCAGGAGAAATCTAATAAACATCTATAAATCCTAGACTGGGGAGTATATCAGCGATAGTCTGCGGACCAGGGCTGGAGCGCCCCTCTCAACTCAAACGATCAAGATCAAATCCATCACAAACCATCGTATACTGTCCTAACCACCAAGGGTAATGGGGTCGGGATGAATGGGGATGGGGTGGGGGGTAGGGATAGCTGGGGGTGGGAAGGGCGCCACTCGAGCTCCAGCTTCAAACTCCAACAACAGCGGGGAACAGACATGGCCTTGCCCGGAGGGATGTCTGCTGTCGATAGTCGTGGCGGCCAATTGTGTGTGCCTGCAGAAGCCACCAGCACATGGCAGCTTCGAGCATTCATCGAGGGCGTTAGCATGCAAGGGGGCGACAGGGCGGGGCCGCGATATCTGTGTGCTAACCCAACCTGACCATCAACCAAGGGACTGTGGAGGGGGGCGTGTGTCGAGGGATCTCAGAGACATCTTCAGAACGAACGGCGCAAGGTACAGAAGGTTTGGTATGTGTACAAGATTAGAATCAGACATTAAGAGAATCCGCTGGCTCCCCTGGCCCGTAAACTCAGGGCATCGAATTCTTCTGTCCAGATCGTAGCCACCCGAATAAGCGCTGCGAGTAATGCATGCTATCCGCTCTGCAGCGAACCAAAACGACCCTTGCCAAGGGAGAACGGCACAGAGCTCATGGAGAGCGAGATCAGCCGTGCAGGCACAGGCACAGGAACAGGAACCCTCAGCCTTGTCGCAACTCTATGCCTCTCTCCCGTGCAAAGGCAATAGTATCTCTGTAGTTTCCTATTCCATACTTCACATATCCATCTCATCAGTTTCATTGCCAATATTGACCCTGCTCCTCCCCTTTCCAGTCAATTGCTGAAGGGCCACCTTGTTAACCTGCCCTCCAACCTTCTTCTGCATCTTCGCGATCTCCTCCTCAGCATCGACTGCCTCTGCCTCCGCAAAGTCCAAGACAAGCTTACGACCAAGCAAGTGGGTGTCCCTCAACGCATTTAGTGCGTTCTCGGCTTCGCGGGGAGTGACAAAGTCGGCAAAAGCAAAACCCCGAGGGGTATAGTCAGCCTTCTTGGGTAGGCGTACCGATCGAAGCTGGCCATAGGTTCCAAACAGTGACCTGATGTCCTTCTTGGTCGCCTGGAAAGGCAAGTTCTTGATGATGATCTTGGTGCGCTGCCCTGCAGCCTTCTTAGCCTTGTCTTCCCTGCGTCTCTCCTCGGCTGCGTCATGGCCCTTGTGTGATGCCTTCACAGCCAGGGCATGATCGTCAAGTACATGACCATCCATGACTTTGAGTGCAGCCTGGGCTTGGCTCCTTGTGCGGAACTCCACAAAACCGAATCCCATGCTAAGTGTCTGTCCTGGTTTCTTGGGGTCCATTTTAGTCTTAACTCTAGCAGAGACGAATCCGTCGAGGGACTGAAAAGCTTCAGCAAGCCGAGATGTGGAAGTCGAAAAGTTTAAATTTCGCACAAACAGTGAGGTGGTTTCCAAATCCTCCTCCTCCGGCTTATCACCGCGTGACAGTAAGTCGTCCACACTAAGATTTTGGACCGTCGGAGCCGGACGATCTTTTAGTGCCACGGCTTGGTCCAGTTGGTCGCCGCCTCTGAAGATGTCACTTGGCGCTTTTTCCAAAAAGAGCACACTATCTCCAATCCGGCGATATGCCAGCTTCCCAAAAGCGGATTTGGCGTAATTGGGTTGCGAGAATTGGACAATGGCGATTGTCCCGCTCGGGGGCATCAGAACTCTCAGCACGGGCCCAGACTCCTCGAAGAGTTTACGGAGCTCGTCGATCGTCGTCCCGTAGGGAAAGTTTTTCACCAAGATGGCCGTATCACCCCGCTTCTTGGACTTGAAAGCTTCGAGGTCCACTCCATTAGCGGTAAAGTATGCTTTGGTCTCTTGAATGACGCTCGTCTCAGCGATGGCCTGCTTGATGGCAGCATCGGCCGAGGTAGGGTCAAGAAGTTCTGATTTTGAAACACCAAGACGGTCGGCGACCGACGCGTTGACGGCGTCCTGGCTCATATACAGCGCATTCCAGTTAAACGTAGTAGCTGCTGCCTCTTGTTTCTTCCGAATCATGTTTTGTTTCTTGAGGGGCAGTTTGGAAATTGCAAACTCATCCAGACCCGTGTCTCTCTTTGCACTCGCAGGAATGATGTGAAGAATACGCCCCTGAAACGTCGCCCCGTCCATGGCTTGGAATGCTTCAACAGCTCCCGACGATTCAGTAAACAACACCAGGGCGAACCCCTTGCTGGTACCTGAATTGCTGACCGGTAGATGAACCTAGTATTTCAACAGCTATTAGTTGATATTCAATCTAGTAAAATCCTCAAGAAATGTAGTAAGATTGGCAACAATTCAGTTAATCGAAGCATCTACTAAAATATTCGCTCAAGTTCTCATCAAATACCGAAGTATAAGCTGTCCCTATCTGAGCTTCATCACGTCGCCTTTGTTTTGTAAACAAATAAAAGGAAATCATTAGAAACATACCTCTTCAATGGTTCCGAACCGCTCGAATGTCTCCCGGAGATCCTCCTGGGTGGCGCTGTAAGCCAGGTTTCGGACAAAAAGTCTTGATGTTCGGCGGATCGCCTCAAGTGAGTCGTCCCTTGCCGGTTCACCCCCCGATGCCTCCATCGTGGTCTCATTCATCGCCGCGGCAGCTGTAGCTGGAGGGTCAACAGAAATGAGTTCCATAGCTTCGCCTCCCTCTGCATGATCGGTCTCACTTGTTGGTGCCCCTTGCGCAGGAGTTCGTTCCAAGTCATCGGGATCAACAAGGTCCAGCAGTCTGTTTGTTCGTGAACGAAGCCAATCGTCATCCTCTGCGACTACCTCCGGCTTATCCAGACTTGACTTTGCGGTTGCTTCTTGAGGCTCCACAGGTTCGTCGCCTGCACGAGTTTCCGCCTGCAGATCAGAGACCACGCTTGCTTCTTTCAGCTGCGAAGGCAAAGATTGAGAGACCAGCGGCTTTTCTGGTGCTTCAATCCTGCGCTGCTTCTCCCTTCGAGTCGGGATCTGCTCGTACTCATCATCGCTCTCCTCTTCAGGAACAGCTGTGGCAGCAACAGCAGCGACGCCGTCGCCGATACCACCACGGACACCATCATCGAGCGCGCCCTCTCTACCTTCCTTCATTACGTGAAGGAACTCGCGTAGCTTCGGGTCCGCCGGCTGGGGCTCATCTCGCTTGCGCTTTCTCAAGCTCGAGTCTGACTCCTTTTCAGCGGGCTGCTCATTGCCCTTGATTGTTGTGGATGGTGTTGATGCAGCTTTGGAATGCCAGGTGCTCTGGCCTTTGCCTTTGGTGAGGGCGGGGTCTGAGATCTAGCATTCCATCAGTATGAGAAGTCAAGACATTTAGAGGAGTCAACTCACGGGTCGCGCAGTCTCGACGGCAATCTTGGACATACGAATGTAAGACCTGTTGAAGTACTTGACTGCCTTTGAGGCATCTTCGGGTGTCTTGTAGCCCACATAGCCAATGCGTCGCTGGGGAATCAGCTTGACATCGGTAATCTCGCGACCTTGGGCGGAGAAGTGCTTCCGAAAGTCAGCCTCCGAGATACTGGGTGGCAAACCCTTGATGAATATCCTCGATGAGGCCATTATGATGTTGTTGTTTGTTGATTATATCTCCCGATCAATGGCGAATGGTTTCACCGTGGGAGTTGAACGCGTGAAGTCATTTTCAGAACTTGGGCTCTTTAAGAAGGGAGAGAAGGAAAAAAAGTTTCTTTACCACATTCTTATTGCCCGAGGTTGGGACCCGAGGTTGACCCGTGCACCGGATTTTCTAACTGTCCAACCCCACCATCAGCTTCCAAGATGCTTCTAATTCAGTTGTTTTTCTTCACCGCCCTGAGCTCAGTGATGGGAGAAATTCCAGTGAACAAGTCAAACGCCACTATAAACAGTATGACAGCACTGAAAACGGTCGAGAATAGCTACCTACCTACTCCAGAATCTTGATATCATTTTCATCAAGAGATATTCTTCTCAGCTGAACATGACGAGAATTATCGCCCAGTATCACTCATGAAGAAGAGAAATTCTGCCATCTCGGTATTCATTGTACAGTCAACATACGTGCATCGATTCAAAAGCGTATATCTGTCCATAAGGTCGTCATCACGGAAGAAACCACTTTGTGTTCTCAGCTCCCACCTCACGCCTTCAAGAATGTTGGTGTGGAGGGTATGGTTTTACCTGCAAGACTCATCTTGCACATAAGACCTGCATCTTGAATGCCAATGGGGTAATTCTGGAATCCAGTGGCTTTCTGGGCTCTTATGATGCTTCTCTGATTTTGATACTGCTACGTGTTTTCTTGACTTCTATTGCCAACCATTGTATGGTTCATGTCGAATGAAGTTGTCTGTCGACCAACAATCTGTCGAGACTTCTCGGCATCAGCACTACACTAACCGCTCCTACAGCACTGATTCATGTCTACTGCTTACTCGAATCTGAGTATATTATCGATCGACGAATGGCCGAGCAACAGTAGTGGATCGGAGGATATATTCCTCATCTCCGACCTGTCAGTCAGATGTCGAGGCGTTATACGTTCGTTAGACGCCGATCATGCGCATATCCCCCAGAAGACTACGAGACATTGAGAGCCTCAAACTGCTCTACATATGAGCTCTTGTTCTTTGACTTGAAGTTATCTTCTTTGCTCTTCATTCATTCATGTTCAAAAAGAGATTCTCCATGCCAGGCTCATCGTTTGCAGCAATGTGTTAACCAAATGCAAGAAAATATAACAACAAAACATCAACTTCTCCGCCTGGTTCCCTAGCAACTTGGAATTAACTTTCATATCAAGTAGCGGTGAGTTGGCATCTAGAAATATTCCAAAGTTTATATGGCCCTACAACGCTGAATTTGGTTCTCCGACATTCCTAGCCTCCCACCTCTCAGCTATCATTGTGCAGTCTGGTAAATATTCATTCTTCGAGAATCGTGAAATTGAGACGAACCAAAGAGCATCAGCTTCAAGCAAATAGTAAATATTTAATTAGAAGTGCTTTTTATATTCTAGATCTGCCAGAGGGGTGCTGAGATATGCATTCTTGATATGCATTCTGGCATATGTGAGATGCACACTCCACACCAGGAGCTCTGGAATGACTTGTGAGGGAATGCGGATGCAAGCCATATTCTTTGGAGAATTCTTGTCAAAGTTTATGGAGGGCCATCTGACTTTGAGCGTGCAGGAACACTCGGAATCCATAAGTATAAGAAGACCTCACTGCTCACTCATCAGTTCTTCCAGGAGTGTTGCTCAAGGAACACTGACAAATGTATGTCAGAGACATTTCCCAGCGACTCCAACTTCGTACATTGAAAGACGCATTGGTCCATTGTTTCATTGTATCTAACATCGACTCCATGGCTGATCGATTGGTCTTCAACGCGGCAATAACACTCCGGAATCACGACCTTGGAACTCATCGATATGTCACCGAGAACCCGATTTTTCAGCAAAATAATTTCATTATCCCCGAGAGACGGCAATGGACTTCGAGATATCGGACTGCGGTTTTGGTCACAAGAGCTTGGGAGTCAGTCGTGGTTTGGTGAACAGGTCGTCTTGAGTCATAATGCGATATTTCGCCCATGACCCACGAGCAAGAATTATCACACTATCCTCCGGATGCGGCAACCACTCGACTACAACAACAACAACAACTATTCTTATTCCGGTTGAACTTTGAAGTTTATTCACGGTTTGGACCTCGTTTCTCTACCATGACTCCGGTGTCAATCGATCATGAAAAACTCTTCATCGCCGCCGCCACGGTTACTGTCACATTTGGCGACCGAAACATATCGCGAGTTCCAACAAGGTTCCACGGCACCATTTCCCCTCGGAAAGAATTTAACGTCGTATTATCACTGGAGACCATGGGGAGAAGAGGTAAGAGCGGCAATCGGCGTGCTGATAGTCCTCCAAGCCGAACTTCGTGGGCCATTTACTTCATGAGTTTCCGTACATGTATGACGCCACCAAAGTCTGTCGCGGTCTTGGCACACATTGATGCCTCTTTGGGTTGTGATGAGAGATGGGCGCATGAGGCTACCTCGGACGTAGGACCTTTTGTCGTTAAGCGTTTCCACTGCAGTGTGGACCCTTGGACTTCTTGGAACCTTCATGACAATCGCGACAGTGCTGTGAGACGCCGTATTGATATGTCCGTGGCGTTCCCTTTGTGGTTGTAAATATGCACCTCTATGTGCCTGGTGCCTGCTTGACATGTAGGTAGCCTGAGTCCAGGCTCGACTGTACTGTGATGGTCTACAACCAGGGCCAGGAACCCATCCGCTCATACGCCCTGGTGAAGTTGCATCATGGGGGGTGTGAACTCGGGATGTTCATAGTACCTAACGATCAGTCGAGCCTCGTCTTCGTTACCTACCAATAACGACCATCTCCTATGTGTTCCAGGCTGATAAAATTGGAGCTGTGCAATATCACCAACAACACAGCTCTGCCGATGTGACGAGAGGCGTGATTCGGCAGGCCAGAACTCTCAATCACCTCCGCGCATGATCGATCATTGCAATACTTTGTGAATGTCCCCAAGCTCATGATCTGACAAACTGGGAGTCACAATTCACCAAGTATGGCGTGCAGAGTTGATGGGGCGGTTCACTAACTCAATCACTGATGTCAGGGTCCATGTGAGTAGAACCGTTGTTATTCCGTGTCCTTGCGCCTTCTAATGGCAGGGCCGCGGCATCTCTCAGTTCTCCTGTTTGCTGACCAGGGTCCTTAGCATTTGTTGATCTGTAAGTGCGAAGTTTGAGCTTCATTTGTGGAATTGGTAGCGGAGAGGTTGATCGAAACACAAGACGTTAGGGAGCGACCAAATGAACTCGAATGAAACATGGACCCTGAATAAACATAGAGAGCAACAATACTGAAAGCATCGACTGTTAAATTTCATCATACCGGAAAGTATAGAATAAAATTGGTCGTAAAACTGGATGTACAGGGTAGGCTATATCGCAAAGATGGCGTATGAGGTGTCAAAGGGTATGGTACGTACACATATAGCTACCGACGCGAGCCGCGCCGCCCCTGGGTTGGCGTCGTCAAGGCAAAAGAATCATCCAGTCCCGTCCACCAAAGTGCCCGTGCGCTTTATTTCCAGGGCAGCTCCCACTGGAACCGAAGCTGTTGTTGACGAGGCTACAGCTTGGCCAGCAACAACCCAATCACGAGCATCAACACGCGACTGTACACTTAATCCGCTCCACAGTCACCACAAGGCTTTGGCATTTGCGCGCGTCTCATCGAGTCAATCAACGGCAAAACTCCAGACACAATCAATTGTAATACTAGTCGCTATTATTTTTACTTTATCGGCCAAAAACACTAACGCCTCGTACCCTTCATACATCCTGTATGTACTTCCTGGATCCCCTACGGCTAGCATCCCGTCCCGTGTCCCTCAAGAAAGGGGGCGCACACCAAGGCGTCGTCGAGCGCCAGCCTCACGAGAACAACTCCGACTAACAAGACTTCGCAGGCCGCCTTTGTTTCCTAAACCGAACACTTTCCTCAACCTAAATTCAACACAAGATGGCTGACGCTCACGTTCCCAAGGCAGAGTCTCCCGTCGCTCGGGAGAAGCTCGAGGGTAAGCAGCACCCCCTTTGGAGCTTGAGAAGCATCATACTGATATAATGCTAGCTCAGATCAAGTCCGCCGACATGGTGAGATAACCCGACATACGTACCGATATTCCGGACGCGATCGCTGACGAGAGAGTGCCAAAGACGGAGGATATGCAACAGGAGTCTATCGAAGTTGGTATGGGGAATCCATGACAGTTTTGCGCCGGCGGCGGCAGGAAGACGAGGCTGACGTGACGATAGCTCAGGAAGCCATGGCCAAGTTCACCATTGAGAAGGTTTTCCTCACCAAGTACTGCGTCCCCGTAGGCACCCAAACTGACACGCTATGACAGGACATCGCACAGCACATCAAGCGCACAGTTCGTACCCGCCAAGGCTGTCACGACCGATCCCGTACTTACAGAGTATAGTTCGACGAGCGAAAGGGACCAACCTGGCACTGCATCGTTGGCCGAAATTTCGGTAGCTTCGTTACCCACGGTTCGTCAAACCCAACACGCCGATCTCCGACTCCATAGCCCCGGGCACGGCTGGCTGGCTAACACGCTACGCAGAGACCAAGCACTTTATCTACTTTTACCTTGGCCACTGCGCAATTCTACTATTCAAAACGCAATAGGCATGGGAGAAATGGCTCACCGGTGGGGGCCTTTGGAAGAGCTTGCTGTAGCGAGAGGGACGGACGGGTGTGGTGGGACAAGAAGAAGGCCAAGACAAACGCAAGAGGCAGCAAGGCAACACGACGGCTGCTGACTGCGGTATCGTCCACCCTACCCTGCTGGATCTGCCTCTATGTACGAGACGGGCGGCCGTGGAGCTTGCGGCTGTACTAGGTTCATGATCAATAATGAGGGGCGCTCGCCCAGTTTTTCCAAATCTTTCCGTTCCTGGCCCAGCTTGATCCTGTTGTTGAGAAGTTTGTTGCTGGGGGTGGCTGATCAGCCGTGACGGGCTGCCAAGGTGTGCCTGATGCAAGGCTGTTGGTTTTTAGTTTGAGATCGGAGATTCTGACAGCCCCGGTGTGTCTTGTTCCTGAGACATAACTGTCACTGTCAGACATGGCTGTCATCGTTCGATTTCTTCAAGGCTGTCACTTATGATGCTGCTGTTGGAATAGGCTAGAGTCAGAGATGTCACTGGCGATAGCAATCGCCGATCATGCACGATCCCCAACATCGCGAAAATACGACCATCTAAGGGTCTAGTTAACAGTCCGATCAACAGCCTCGACGATCCACCTCTAGCCAGTTCACGTGGTCTCGAAGAGGCTACCAGACTCTTACCTTACTGTAGATGACAAGGCGCGGCCCCAGAAGGATTTACTTACCCGATTACCCACGGCGGGCAGTCTAAGCAGTGCAAGCGACGGCACACCCGTCAAAGTATGTCAGACTGGCAGATGGGGACCTTTGGGATCGGGACAAAGTCAAATGCCGAGTCCGTCTTTACCGAGTCGGTCCTGAGTTCCGCTAGCTATCCTAGGCTATCACAACTCACATCAACTCTTTAGGTGACTTGAGCTAGACTGCTAGAGGCACTTTCGGAACGGAGTCGGGCTCCATATAATTGACTCTCTCTCGTTGGTGTTGGTGTTGGTGTTGGTGTTGGCGTGGGGGTGGGCGTTCATCGATACGACGGATGAGGAGGGTACGCTGACAATTACAGTTACAGGTCCAGGAACAGAACAGGAACAGGACCAGTCGATTACCACTTTGGGGGGAAAGTCTAAAGAGAGGCTTTGAGGAGCTGAGGCTAGTATGACGGGTAAGAAGTTGATGTGTCATAACCTGATATGGTCATTCTTTGTCCGTGAGAACGCCATTGAGTAAATGGAAGATATTGGCTCATGATGAGAAGTGAAAGTGTCAGAAACTCTAATAGCAGGGGTACAGTATGATGTTATCACAGTCTAAGTGTAAGTGCGAGATCATCAGGCACTATAAGAATGATCTCAGACATGGAGAAATTGAGTAATTGTCTTAGAATACTGGAATTGATCGACGTCTGGTGATTTCTTATCTCAACTTAACTCAAGATAGACTCTTGAGGTATATGAAGAGGCTTCTTTCATTGGAATACGATGGTCCGGGCCGCTGCCGCTAGAATCATCCAATAACACAGGCCCTCAGCCGAAGAGAAGAAAAAGGTACTCTGATCAACACCACCAAGCAAAGAATGGCCAAGCCAAAGCCTAAAGACCGAGAACACTACGGCCCACTCACTCACTCACACTTGTTCACCCGCTGAATTGGGTTGGGTGGTACCCCTCTGAAGATCCTGGTCGAGAAGGGTCCATATGGAAAATCTCAAAGTTGAGAAAGAAGAAGCAATTGGGGGGCCATTGATAGTGTATACCGTATAAACTCATGAAACTGAGTAGCGCCTGTGGATACCACGCTAGTCAAAATTACTATATTCATTTGGCCAATAATGCTAAATAGCAAGATATCAGATCTTTATTTAGCTTACGGCCAATTAGAAGGTCTAAACCTGGCCGATTTGTCCCACAGGCGCTACTCAATTTCGTGAGTTTGTACGGTAGTTGACTTTGATCTAGTGTTTTCTAGTGAAGAAAAGACTGGAGAGAGACTTGAGCTCTCACCATGATGGAATTCCAATAATGATAGCGTCTGACAGAGCTGGACGACGTCTGTACGTGCGGTTGAACCGGAAGATGCACCACATACAGTGCTGCACCACATGTGCATCGCATGGCATCGCACGGCATCGCATGAGGATGCATTAGGATCAAGAGGTGCAGATGGGGGCAGTCCACCAGGCCCGATTAGACCGAATGAGCCGAGCCTATGCCGCTCGGTTGAGACATCTGATACACATCGTACTGTGTTGTACCCGAATGGAGTAGATGACTGTTGATGACCATTGTTGGTGATTTTGACAGAACATGAGTTCTTATGGAGAATTGATGACCAACAAGGTGCATGATCCTGCTGATTTGGTATGATCTGACGAATATCAAAGTGTCGTGATAGGTAGATTGTGTTGTTGTTGTTGTATCTCCCAATGTGAACTACCCTAGAGTGAAGATGAGGATTCAGTCGAGCAATATCTTGCTTCACTATTACTCAACTTCGATACTGTTGTGATCAGTATGAGAACCTAGATATCTTTATGTGTAACTCGTTCTCTGACAGTTTTATTCTTTATTATGCTGTTTCATGATAAAACTGCAGTCTCAGACTTCACTCAATGGTCTTCAAGCACCGTGATGCAAGCATATACCGGCCAGCAATCACGCTCCTGTTTCGTCTCAAGGTATTAAATGACTAGTAATCGTTACCTGGACCTCCTTTAAGAAGCGAGTACCTTTATCTTAGACTCACGGTTGAAAACTTGGTATTAACGTTTATCAGAAGAGGCTCCCAGGCACTGAAGACATAGCGGCTCGAGCACACTCATCCGAAACGTCAGAAAGTGATGTCCTACGCGATATAGATATTGCCCATGACAAATAGTTATCACTGTTGATTTTAAATCACAGTAAAGCTGTAAGTTACACAAATGTTTTGCAGATTCGGGGTCCCAAGCGAGGGTTACGCATGGCAAATATTGAACACCATCAGACAGCCACTTCGGGTATTCTTACAGGTTCGAATGCCGGCTTGGCTGAAATCAGAATGAAACAGCAAATCCAATGTCTGTTGATTTGCTGATGCAAACTATTACCCCAATAGCTATCGATTGACTGATGTCGCAGTTACATTGACGTGGACAAGGGAGTTGGATCAACACAAGGTATAGCCTTTTCACCCCTCGAGACCTCAGCAGCTATTTGCAAGTTAATAGATATTGGCTGCTAGAGGATAAACAGAAGGAAAAGGGTAGACGAATTAATAGCCAGTGATTTCCATGAAAGCGTGTTGAGGGCGCTGTGCTGCCCCCTTGCAATGGCCAATATCTTCAGCGCCTCCCGTTATATCGAACAATACAAGCGGGTACTGGCATCCAATCTCGCAGCGCTCAATTCTGCGTTTCAATGTCTCTGTGCCCTGAACAAGGACCGAATCAATGACCCGAGTTGATCCTAATAGTCCTAGAGACTCAATCCTATACTTGCACACGGCCAATACTGTATGTGACAGAAGGGTTATGATGAGGCAAATAAGCGCCCATGTTTGCCCAGTTGTTGAACAACACCAGCAGAAGCCATATACGAGGTGACAGCAAAGCAGCCCGTGTCAGGTATATCACCCTTGTCCATCATGGATGGGAATAGAAAAGTCAGCGGGTCCAGGCAATACCCGATTTCCACCTGAATCACTCGCCGAGAAAACTCCCCTTCTGTTTTGTTTGTTTTGTCTTGTCTGTTGCAATTTTACTGAATGGCCAGCCGTCAAGGTTAAGGCATCGACACAGTCCCTGTTACAGATGCCATTCCCTCTAATATCGGTAGTTGTTAGTATCGATGAAATTTCTAAAACGTAAACCAAACACCAAACAAACATCAGACTCAGGATGGTCACGAGTCAAGAGGCCAGGCGTCAAAATCTGAGACATCCCAGGTTCTTTTTGTAGGATCACCGGCTTAGTAGATGCAGATGCAGATGCAGATACGGATAATACAAGGTGGGAGATGTCAGCGCAGCCTCAAAAAAGACACAAACAGCCGTGGCGCATGCATGGCCCACTCTGTATTTCGTAACGGCAGAATATTTCTTGCATCTCTCAATATGTTGTATTCGTTCAACTGAATCGACAGACTTGCAGACGTGCCTTGTAGCACAATAACATCATCTTACGACCATCCACTATGTAGCGGTCTGCAGAGAAACCTCGGATCACCTGGCCCATCATCCGGGTCATTAACAGTTTCTCAGGACATTCCGACACCAGAGACTGGTTCGACGTGGGATGCCCCGACAGACCAGGAGAGGCGAGGCGAGACGGCTCGATGGAGTCCGGAACCATCTGCCAGCATGACCATTTCCATAGCGCTAGACGGGCCTCCAACACATTCACAGTAAAAGGCCTTTTGACGGTGAGAACGGGAAAACAGTCAGTGGTCTTTGTACAGCGAATGCTTGCTGTGGCGGTCGGTCTGCCGAAAAGGCTGGCGGACAAAGTGACGAGACAGAAGAGTTTCACCAATTGAGAACCCTTTCAATCACCAAATTTACATCGCCAAGCGCGATAAGAAGCCACTGACAGTTGTACGTGTTGTAATTGTTCAGCAGAGGTACGAGATATGCCAAAATGTACAGCGGGATGCCACAGACTGTGATGTCAGCGATCATGCTTCGCCGAGCCACTCCCACTCTCGTGCAACTGTACCTCGAATGAGGCGCGTCACCAAAAGGTACATGACCTTTTTCAACTCTTCTCGTGGACCGAAAGGAATACACATCCTTGTTGCACAGCACAGCGGTGGTGCCCCCCATGTCGAACAGGGGTCTTCCGCTTAGTTCCCCCGGCGGACTGATCCTGGTCAGGCCCAGCTAAAAGGTAGACACACGTTCTCAGGCTGTTACTGGACTGTGCTGTAATGCCAGTAATATTCGTGGACTCGAAATAATTGCCCACGTAGAGATAGATGTTGCTGCTTAGGTTGGCGGGCATCTGGATTCAGAACTGCGTTTTGTGTGACGAACAATTGTCTTA